CACACCTCCATCCATCTTCAATTATATCCCCAAGTTTATTTGATTTTGAAGTAATTTTTTTTGACTCCAAAGTCAAATGAACTTGGAGGTGCAATTGAAGTGGGGTATGGGGTGTTTGGGTTGGGATGGGAAGGGTGAGGGTTAAGAGGGGTAAGAATTGTCAATTATACGATTGCAGCATCGTATCGTAGCGGCCCCGGGTCATCCCATGACATAGAGTTTCAATGTAATGGAACCCGTCCGAATTTAAGTTTCTAGTTTTACTTTCACGAACTTTAGGAGGAGATATAATTAAGTGATTCAAATTAAACATAAGAGCGAGAAATGATATAAAACATACAAGTCAAAAATTTGAAGTCTAGCGATATCACAGTGAATCTCCCATTGGCTCCAAATGGGAGATCACTAGTTTGAACCCCGATGAGGCAATAACTCTATGTGTTTTAAGAATTTAAGAAATTATGAAGTGATGCTACATTGTAACAAAATTATTAATATTCGTAAAATAATACTTCCCCGTCCCAGAAAAAAGTTCCCATTTTGACCATAAATTAGTCAAACTGTTCCACACTTTGAACCTAAATTAAATATAATCTAAATAAAGAAATGTTAAAAAAATTTGAGATATCAAAACTAGATCCTAAAATGAATCCAATTATATAAAATTTATTTCATAATTCAATATACTTTTCTGACAATTTGTAGTCAAAGCGTGCAAATATTTGACTAAATACTATTCAAATTGGGAACTTTTTTGTGGGATGGAGGGAGTACCTAATAGTATAAAACACAATATTTTCTTTAAGCCTTTATTTTTTAAGTTTCCACTTTTAATTTCTAATTCTTTCCAATTTTTCAAACTCTTTTCAATCGTGCAAGCCTAGCCTTAGGCAAAAATGAATTTTGCCAATAATTAAAAAATTGATCTCGTGTAAAGTTTGACAAAAAATAGATTAAAGCTCACACTGGGAGAGATGTGATAAAAAATACTCCAAAAAGATTTTGGGAGCCTAAACTAAAGGGCATCCTCAATGAGAGTGGGAGGAAGAGTCTTAAGACTCTCTTCTAATCTCCAGACTCCATTATTTAGGCAAACAATCATTCATAAAAGTCTTGGAAAAACTGTTTGAATTCCCAGATTGACTTTAATTTCAACATTCTCATCACAACATATCCAATAAAAACCAGACACATCTATTCAATTACAGTTATTTCTAATATTAAAAATTAGCTACCAATTGTTCTTGTAAAAAAAATATTAAAAAGTGCTAAAAAAACAAAAAAAAACCTAAAAGCCCAAAAAATATTTGTTGTGCCTTTATTTTAAATTTATTCAATTTACATTTTATGCGTGTTTACTTATGTAATTTTAATAAATGCAAAATCTTTTGTTTCTAAGAAAAAAAGATCTTTTGTCTTGTAACATCATCTTCTAATATATACGGATGTACGTAGTACCACCGAATTGGGCATCCTCATAAAATCAATTCACATTAAGATGAGAAGATTGTCGGTGCACCTGTTTCAGAGTCGCACCACTTTGTTTCAGGGTGACTACTATTTATTTCTTGTTTCAAAAAGGCTAAATTGTTCACTCCAGACGCCACTCACACTGTACCTGACGGGACTGTGAGCAGATGTAACCTATGGTAACTCAATTGAAAACTGAGGCTAAGACTAGAGCTTACATATATTAGGGAGGTTGCTCCTAATATATGTTAAAAGGTTGCTCCAGTGCTCATCACTAGAGTTGTAAACAAATCGAATATTCATGAATGATATTCGTATTCGTTAAGATAAGGTGACATTTGAATTCGAATTCGGTTCGAATATTTTTTAAGATTCATACTCGGTTCGTTAAATATACTAGACATATTCGGTTCGTTTAAAAATTCGATTCGTTTAAAAATATTCAATTCATTTAGATTTTAAAATATTTTATAACCATTTAAATTATTTATTAGCTATTGGGAAAAAATTATAAACTCATACTCCGTATTTTATACGGAGTATGTGTGTGTGTGTATGTGTGTGTGTGTATGTATGTATGTATGTATGTGTCTATGTATGTATGTATGTATGTATACACTCCGGGATATGTATATGTGTGTGTGTGTGTGGACCTTATGAAACACAATTATTTGTAAAATTATAGAAATCTCAATGGATGGAGTAAAAAATATAAAAATACAAAAAAAAGAATCTTAAGTATTTTTTGACCAAAACAAGAGTAAAATGGTAGTGTAGTGTAAGAGTACGCGTTAGCAATGTGATAAAAAGATATGATGATAAAAGTTAATATGTCGGTGTGATCAACCAACCGTCGATGAAATTGTGTTCGAAGATCACCGTCGGATGGTAGTGTGGCGGTGATATTGTGACAGTTAGAATATGACTACGTGGTGAAAGTGCTGATGTAATAATGATAGTGTGAACTTCTATTTTAGTCTTAAAATATTAGACTTATGACTCTTACTTTTGGTATTTTCATAGTTTTTTACTTCTATTTAAAGAGTTCTCCATACACTCTCTCCATCTAACAAGTATCTTCTCGTTCATTATTCATATGGTCAAATTTTATTTACTTTGTTGGCTTATTTTTGTTGCTCATTTTATAAAATAATATTGTCCTGTCACCTCTAGTTTTATAGAACTTTTGAATTAATTTTTAAATATATAATTTTTATTTTTAATTCTTCACCATTTATATATAAAATGATTTGAAAATTATTTCTGTCGAATGTTATAACACGCAACGCAAAGATAATTTTTGGAGGAAAGAAGTATATACTCCCTCCGTCCCAGAATATTTGTCCACTTTCATTTTTACACACCATCCAATACACTTCTTTAATCCGTTTTATCTTGTAATTTGTATATTAAAAAATTATAGAAATTATATATTAATAATCTATATGTTAAGACAAATCAAACAAGATCACACATGACTATATTTAGGCTTAAACATTGAGAGAATTTGATGAGTCAAAGTGCTTAGATGAACAGTTGCAAAAGTCAAAACTAGACGAATATTCCGGGACGGAGGGAGTAACTAATATAAGATCGATAAAATAAACACTACTGAGTACTTATTTAGAGCCTGTTCTTTATGGCTTAAATTCTTAAATTCCAGTTTCTTTTAGTTCCATATAGTTTTTTCCAGTTCTTCCAGTTTTTTTGAGTTTTTCGAGTTTCTTTTAACTATTCACATTTTCTTCAAACTTTTTCTACTCTCTGACCAATTACTCTAAAAATGATAAATTTTTAATGTGATTATTATTATTATTATTACTATTACTACTAGTACTACTACTACTAAAACTGTTATGTTCATAACTATTAAATTATTTTTTTCATCTCACTAATTTTACGATTCACGCTCATTCTTTTTTCTTTAACTTTTTAATATGAATAAGACAATTTTTTTGTATATTAATCTACATAATAAAACAGGAAAACATCAATATTTTAATTATATTAAAAATTATGGATAAAATAGCTACATAGAATGTTTTATTAATCTAACTTTATATTAGATCTCTCACCTTTCCCTTCATTATTCAAAATTTTTTCATTTTTCTAATTTTTTAAAAATTGAAAGTCAAAATAGTTTAGAAAGAAAGACTAAAATAGGAGTAAAACATAAAAAATGTAAAAAAAAGTTATACGTCTTTATTCCAAAAATAGGACTTACAATAAAAATAAAATATCTATCATGATAGGAAAAATAGGTTTGATTATATTATGTGATATGTCTGATATTTAAAACAAAATCTTGCAATATATAAAGTATAATTATAAATATGTTATTTATAATAAATACTGCATAAATAAAGTAAGGTGCAACATAACTATACAAACTTTTAAAATTTAACATTTTGATAGTTATGCTAACTTTATATTATAACTATTTTTTTGCAAAAGTAGTTTTTTTGTATTTGAAAAATAACAAAACTTTTTTTATTGTAAAGACATTGGTTAAGATAACGTGATGATGATATTGTTGTTGTTGATGATGATGATGATAATAATAATAATAATAATAATAATAATAATAATAATTTATAACAACAAGAGTTAGAATCAGAATAATATAAAAATACACTAAAATAAATTTTTTAAAAGCTTTTTAGGTTTTCCAATATTTTGGAGTTTTTCTAGTTTCTTTTAGTTTTTCCAGTTACTTTTTTTTTCTTTTAATTTCTTCCAGAAGTTCCTTTCAGTTTGTTCAACTTTTTTTCTAAGAATAAATGTCTTTACTCCGTATAATTTTCCCCTACTGAAGTACTCAGGAGGAGCTACATTTGGGAAGCTGTTGGCAGCCATGGCTTATATTCCTGCGCACAAGCGCCACTCGAGCTGCACTCCGGCGCCGGAGTCTCATCTGCTCCCCCGTTTCCGTACAAACTCAAGCGGCCGAAATTCAAGCGGTAGGAGCACACAAAAGGTCAAGGGTTCCAAAATTGTTTACGCAGACACCGCGATTTCCATGTGGTTCGCGATCGGCTTGCTCAACACGGTTAACGAAGCTTAATCGTCCTCGAAATTTTCAACTCTCATCGGATTCGAGCCTGTATCTGCCGATTCCCTCGCCAGAAAATCTGGTGAAACCCCTTTTGCTTTGGTTGTCAAAGGTATCGTGTTGTACTAGGTTGCACTGAGACGGGTGCGGGTACATATACGGGGACGGGGACGGATTCGAGAATCGGCATTTTTAAAAATTTAAGGATGCGGGGACGGTAAGGATTCGGCAACAAAAGATAATTAAAATATTAAATATAGGCATGTAAATGTTAAAAATAATATTCTACTTAATTAACATAAAACAATCCAATGACGTACTTAATTAGCATGAAAAGAATGATAGAATACTTATAACGTAAAAATTATAGTGACAAAAATTTAAATAATAAAAACAAGAATGTGATAATAATCTTAGAACACAATTAATTTAATAAACAATGACAACTAATTAAAAAACTAAATTGATACAGTAATAAACAATGGTCCAAACTTGATTTATACAGTATCTAAAAATAATCTAAAAAACAGTAATAAGAAAAGGAATAAACTATGGTCCAAAAAACAGTAATACAGTAATAAACAAGGGTCCAAACTAGATTAATAAAATAATATAAAAAAAGAAGGGAGAATTAAAGTTCTACTGCTTTGGTATCTGCTCAGATCCGTCAAAAAAAGAGCATCAAAGTGGTGCTCTACTGCTCTGGTCTCTCTGGTTCCCTAAAACAAGGGAAATTAAAGTTGGTTAGAAAAGAAAAGGAATTAACTTACCTTGTCGCCGGAAAAAGAAAAGGAATTAACCGGAATTAAAGCTCTGGATCCCTCCCCCCGTCGGCGGTAGATGCAATCGGCAGTAGAAGTCTCTGCTTTGAATCGGTTCGTTTGGAAGAAGCGGCGGATCCAGGTCTCTCAATCATTTAGGCTTAATTAAATTACTTTCCAAACCTAATCCTAATTGGTCAAATATTTTTAAAAAAAATACCAATTTCGGATTCGTACCCAATTCCTACCCGATTCGTCCGGATTCGTACCCAATTCCTACCCGACGAATCCAAACCTGTAGATCCGTTTCGGGTACGCCAACTGCCGTCCCCGCCGGCGAATCCGCGCCGGAGACGATTCCGGTGCGCGAGGCGGCAGTGAAGAGCCGAATCCGTGCAACCTAGGTGTTGTATCATGCTTGTTCTCTATTTGAACCAAGGATTGAAACCGAGGTGTATTGTACAAGTAATTGTGTGTCTAGAATTGCTTAGAGCATTACATAGAATAGTATTGAAGTATAGAACTGCTTGTATGGCGCATGACTATGATTCCCGGGCCATCTTTTTCCATGATTTTGTGCCTTAGGAGACCTGGTGATAGAGAGGGTGCGTTTGTGGAACTCCCATGGGATTGTATAGTTGAAAATGTGAAGAACGACCTTCTTTTATCATTCGAAAGGGTGAAAAATGAAATCCAGGAAAATGAACTTGAAGAGGTAAAGCCTACTCTGGTTGCCCATGTTGGAAGAGTTCTATTTCACGGGTTAGTACTTTTGAGTACTAAATTCAAGCTCTACACTCTGTTTGGTTCAAGGAATTTGAAAGAGAAAAGAAATGAAAAATGAGGTGGAAAACAGTTTTTCTTGTTTGGTTAGAAAGGAAAAGTGGAAGGATAAGAAAATGAGAAGGCAAAATATACTTAGTGGAGAGAAAACCAAATCCCTTCCATTTTGGTGAGGAAAATGAGAGAAAATCAATTTCTTTTCGTTTCCTTCCAAATTGTTAGTTTTCTCTTTGTCTAATGAACACACTGAAAAAGATACAGAGTATGACTCTAATACTCTTATTGCTGTTTTTTTGTTGTAATTTGAAAGAGATATGACTCCATAAGTCCATTTGTTGTGCTTTTTTGTTTTTATTATTGAAATTTGAGCAACACACTGCATGAGTTAGTATAATGAATGTTTCGTGATCTGATACATGTTGAGTTTTTAGTGCACATCATGCTTTCTGATTTCATAGTGCTCCCCTATTCATCTTTGTAGCTTTATCTTCTATTGGGACTAATAATTGCACATATGCCTTGTCTAATTTTCTTTTAAAATCAAAAGTACTGCTATTTCGTTTATTTAGTGTATACAGGATCTAATTTTCAAGTATGTACATTGCAGAGTAATTTATGTTGTGCATTTACCTCTCCTGGAAAAAACACTTGACCTTTGAGATTGTTTCCAATGCAGGAATCCTCCACCCTTAGAATCGTGGACTGAAAGCAGTTTGAGAAAATTGAAAAGATCATTTTATACTAATCTTCCATCTTCATATATGGAGCACATAACAAGCAAAATTGTTCAAAAAGTTGGGCTTACTTTTGAGGGAGATAAGGAGGTTTACCATGTGAAGGTGCTTGTATAGTTCTTTTCGCTTTTACATTTCAAGGCATTTTTTTTCAACCACATTTTAAGTGAATCGTGTTTTAACTATTTCTCTCATGCGGTCTGTAGATTTCTGATAATTTACGGCCTGATTCAACTATCTCCTGTAAATGTGCTGTGGGACAAGATCATAAAAGCATTGAACTCTACAAGGCATGTTCCATGACAGTACTTTGGTAATATGTATGCTTGCACCAGAGTTTGTGTGAATGTATTTATTGTGTCAGAAATCTGTGCTGAACAAATTGTACAATGTTCTGTTTGGCCCAAGCCAACCTTTATGCATGTGTCATTTACAGTCTCACCTTTTTAACTTCTTCATTGCAGATTGAATTAAACCAAGTGCGTCACCTTGTTGTACACCTGTCCTGTCTTGAGAAGACCTTCGACCTAAGGCTAATGCTTAATACCAAGAGAATCATGATAGCTTTAACGGTAAGCGTAATCTCCTTAAATAACCTGGGACTTGATTTATTCATACGTATATTCTTTTTTATCTAATGATGGTTTTAACAACATATCAGAATCATTACTCCCCCTCCATTTCCAATTGATTCTTATCCGTCTTCTTTTAAACCGACTTGGTGACTTTGCCATGGATATTGTCAACTTTGTGATCTGGAAGCCCATCATATGTTTCAGAACGAAGAACTAGATTGCATACGAGCTCTAATTTCTTGTGCTGTTCTGGATTCGGGGATTAAAGGTGGACTCCGATGGTCCCTTGGGAAAGATTCATCAGGAGATCGGTACACCATAGCTGGTGTCTGGCATACCACTGCTAAAACATATCGAAGTTCATCATTCCAGCTTAAGGTTAGAAGTGCAGATCGGTTTGATTTCAGAACATCATCTGTTGAGGTTTCAGGGAAGGTTGTTCTGAAAATGCATGGGATTGTATCCCAACTATAGGTTTGCTTTTTTTCACTGCATCAATGCTATAGTTTACATAATACTCCCTTTGCCCCGATGTATTTGTCCAGTGTTCCTGTTGAGCCGTCATATCTTATGTGTCCACTTTTCATTTAAGGAAAAAGTAAAGTGGCATTGACTTATTTACCCTCACCTAATACTCTAACTCCCCCATCCAAAAAAGTAATCCGGTAAAGAATGTGCCAATAAGAACGTGGACAAGTTAATCTTTAGAAGTGTTGAGAGGAAAGAACACATCTTATTCTTTTTTTCCCCGTAATTGAAATGCAGAAGCAAACATGTGAGAGCGACGAAGTGTTTCAAATGCTCGGAGACAACTTAAAGTTGATATGGGATCATTTTCTGTGTTCTGCATCATCTGTCTGAACTCTAAATTGCGGTATTTCGAAGTACCACCTTAACTTTCCACATTGTCTGTCTTGAAAATAAATAAACAGCTGGCTTCAGAAATGTGGGATTAAAGCCTCAATGTTGTTTTTTTGTAAAGATTATTCCCTCAAACATATTTTAGGCAGCATACATTCATACCCAATACAATACATCTAAACCATAAGAACCGCAGCTCGGCAATGACCGCTTTGTGCCCTTGAAATGTCCATCGGTGAAGCGGGTTTTTGGGGAGTTATATGATGTGAACATGATGAGTTAGAAAAATTGAAGTGGCCATTATGGATTTAGTTTTTTTGTTTTCTGGTGTCTAGTCAGGTGCATTGTTGGAATTTACTCATGGAACTTATTGAAATCTTTTTAATAAACTAGATCAAAATGACACATCAAATTTTTCTTGTTTCTTACTTTCTATGAAGATCTAGGATGTAGCAAGGGTCTAACGAGAGCAAAATCTCTGTTATGAACTTTCCAACACCTCGTATGCCAATGCTTTTTTGTTCATATTGGATTTGTTGCCGTCCTTGTTTTCAAGGAAATATTAGAATTTTATTTCAAATTGAATTTTGAGATACATTGTTTTTCAAAACAGATAATTAAAGTGTTAGTTGAATAACTTTAAGTTCGCTGGAAATTACATCATTTTGAGGTACATGTTTGGTCACTAGTTGTTTCACCGGCGTTTTAGAGATATTTTATTTTACAATCACAGTAAATGTACAATATCCTTATAAGTGCGACTATATTGAAAAAAGCTCTTAATAAACAATACTTTAGTGAAAATTGTAAAGTAATCAAATGGAACGCGTGGTGGTAGTGGTAACACTAGTGGTGGTGGCGGTGGTCAGGGCCGACTCTAAAGGTCCGATGGTCCTGGACGAGATGAAATAAGAATGCAATCTAATTAAAGAAATAAGAATGCATCTCGTGCATTAGATGTAAGATCTAAGGAATTGAAAAATTTAAAAAAAACTGAAAAAATGCAGTGAGCATGGGTTGGTTCATGTGAGATATATATATAAATCTTATCGTGAGAATGATGCATTTTAATACCATCACGATGTATTTTTATATTGTAATAGTGTATTTTCAGCACTGAAAGTAAAATTCGACTTATTTACCATAATGCGACCTCATTTTTTTCATATTTTTTCAGTTTTTTTTAATTTTTCAAGCCCTTGGACACTTTGTTTTTTTGAAAAAGTTCAAATATCGAGAAATATCAAGTCTCAATCTCCTTTACAAGAATCAAACACTCACTAAAAGAACTTGATATCCCACTTATCAAAACCCACCACCAAAGGTCTTGAAGCTGAGGACTTCGTACAAGGAACTTATTTGATACTTTCGCTATAAGAAAATGTTGCCAAGTGCTTCGTGATTGCTAAAGCCACAACGATCAAAAGCTTTTGGGCTGTCCTTTTTTTTTACAGGAAAGAAAACCTTACACTCCAAAAAAGTGTGTTCCACAAAGTAAAGGAAAAAGTGTTCTCAAAGTAGAGAGCACTTAAAAGACAAGTCACTCTAAATGATCCCTAATCCCTACAACACAATTAAATGAATAAAGTCCATTTACACAACTAACAATGCTCACAAGTCACAAGATAACATTTTAAAAACAAACAAATACACAACTTTATGCAAGTTTAAGTGTAACACATGGTGGTCAATGATAGAAGAACAATTGACATTTGACTGAATCAGAAAATTCTGAACTGAACTGACATGATAGTTGAATACGGAGTAGTACGTAGTATAGCCTTACGCTACAACTGAAATGAAAATAAGTTGAATAGAACATATTCTGATTCTCTAAATAGTTAAAAACGCCTATTTACATCTTACCGACGCTCTAAAAATGCTTTAGTGCTTATGCAATGCCAATGTAAGAAAATCCCGGATGCGGCCAAAGTGCGGCCAAGCATCTAGATGTGCTAATCTGAGACTTTAAGAACGCCGATTATTACAATTATTTGGATCTTGAATTCTTGATGGAGGAAAATGAGACGGTAGCAATGTCCGTACCATATTCATTTACGGCATGTTTGGGAACTGGAATTTGGATTTCAAATCCAGAATTGGCTCAATCTCCATGTTTGGAGAATCTTAAAAATTTGGATTTGAATTTGAGGCAAATTCCTATAATTCATTACAAAGCTCAATTGCAAATCCACATGTCCTCCCTTGTCATTTGAAATTTAAGAATTCAAATTTTGAAATTGAAATGAAATGCTAGTTCCCAAACGCTACCTTATGGTTCTTCAATCTTCTTCATCTTTAATAGAATCATCATCACTGTCCCCTCTAGAGATCATATTCATTAAAGCTTTGGAGGCTTGGCCAACAGCTTGAGAAGTCTTCTTTGCTGCCCTAGCAACAACTGGCTTCATAGATATGGCTGGCAGGTTTGCTCTCTCCTCAATCATTGCTAATCAATTCAAATATCCACACTTGATAAGGAAAGAAGAATGAAAACAAATCATGTGCAGCGTGGAAAAAAAACTAAGTTCCCATACACATTGTTTGCTGGCGTGCAAGAGAACCTAATCGCCTTACTCCAGCTTCTGCTGCTTGCACAGCTTGAGCAGATTTGGTGACACCATCTGAAATCTCTTTGCTAAGTTCCAAATTAATAAAACAGATTACTATCGGAAGAGTTATTTCATTGCTTGAGATGGATGAAAACTTATTAGAATCTAATGTGAATCGAACCGTGACAGTTTGACAATATTCAAGCAATGAATCCTCGTCATAAAAATTGAATTGAAACACACACACACACACTCTGTCTCTTAATTAAACTACAGATTTCATTTCATTTTCAGCACATCTCTAAAATTAGACTACAAATTTGATTTGGGGACAGTGAGAGAGAGAAAGAGAGAGAGAGAGAGTTTTAGTTGTATCATTTATTTTACCCTAATTTTTGTTTTTTTTTTTAAATTTTCCCCTACGTTTTCTTTCCCTATATTTTCCATATTCCAAATCAATCCTTTAGAGTATCGATGGAAAGCAATAAGATAAAACTAATACTCCCTCCATCTCAAATGTGGACTATTAAATTGGGAAGGAGGGAGTATATTTAACCATGTTATTCGTATCTTATTTCCAGGAGGATTTGGTACCTTAAATCAGTCAATTCTAGAGAGAGGTCACTGATTTCCATCCCAGAAAGCCTGAGTACAGCCATTGTACTGGGAAGCTCATCACGAGCAGTGTCAGCTAGTTTTGAGAGTGATATTGCTGCCCTTCGCATTGCCTATAACAGAAATTAAAATCTCATTGTTAATTGATGGTTAGAAATTTAGATGGACGTAACTGGAAACACTGAAACGTTTAAATAATACTAAAGAACAACGAGCTTCTGGTTTTCATGAAGCCCCAATCTAACATTTCCTTTTTTGAAAAAAAAAACTGAAAATGAGAGTAGTTCTAGTTTCACCAAGGGTGATGAAAAATAAAAGGCTAAAAGAGTAGAATGCATAGAGTGATCCCACTTCTCTTCCTTCCTAATACACCACTTCTTCATGATACAATTGGAACTTGGTAAATGGTTGGGATAAGAAAAGCATTGCCAAGAATAATTTCAAAAGCTTGTATTTACCTTAAAAATTCAAAGGAATATCCAAGTTATTAAATGTGACCCAGACACACACATTTCTTAGTCATGATATAATGGAATATTTGACTTAACCCTAGATGCATTGTTGCATTTACTGCCTAAAACTTCACAGAGAGTAAGAAGCAAAGAAAGTTTAATGTTCCGTTTTGATTTAATACGCTATGTGCCTGAAACTAAAACATTGTCAATAAGGGACCTATATAAGTAAAAAGGCTTGAACAAAGATTTAAATTTCATTTCTAGAGTTTGAACCAACTTTTTATACATTCCTGCACATTCTTTCCTTCCAAACCTACCCTAAATTTACTTCTACACATATTTTCTTTCTTTAGAAATTCAGAGTTCCAAATTGACCCTTAACAACTACCCTAGATCTAAAATGCTACAAACCTACAACAATGAGAGTATGTTTCTCTACCTAAAATACCTTAACTTTCATCACTACCTAAATTGTAATGTGAGCAGTCTTAAATATGATCACCCCTCATTTTTTATATGTACATTTAGTTGTGGAATACCAAAGTATCAAACAATCAAAACACCAATTGTATGAAAATTAAGAGACTGGAAAACCATAACATATTGCAAAACAATAACCATACCATACTTCATCACTTTTCTTCACTAAGAATCTTCAAAGTTATGCAGTGACTAGAAAAATGGATGACTAACAAGAAACTTACAAATAGCGTTGGCACAGCTGCAAATGCCAAGCTCGTGAATGCCATCGAAGTCTGCAATTGCTGGAAGTTAGTACAAGACTGTCATAGTTTAAAACAATGGCAGATAACAATTTTAAAAAACAAATCTGGAATGTATACAATTTAGAAGAATTTTCAGTTTTGGAAATACAAATACACAGAACAAAAGGAAGAAAGGGTAAGGGGAGGGATACCGTGACAGCAATGAAGGACAAGAGGAAGAAAGCTCGGTCGCTTAAGGTCAATTTGGGAATAGAAATGAAAGTCGGAGAAACCCTTGGGCTTCCCACTTGGGCATTCACAGAATCGTCCTCAGACATCGGAGAAACGCCGGCGTTCGACGAATGCTGATGCGACGACGCTTTAACTTCTACACCAAGAGCGGTCGGCGAAGGTTTCGATCTGGAAATAGATGCGGTGAAAAGCGAAGGTCTGGAGGAGGATAGTTGTCTCAGAAATGATGAAGAGGAAGAAGATGAATGGATGGAATACGAAGACGGGGGAATGCTAGGGTTAGCAAAAATCGGACCTGAGTAGGTGGCCGGAGAAGAAAGGCCGGCGATCAGCAGCTTCATCACTACTCCGCCGTCGAGGCTGAGAACCCTTTTCCGACGTTTGGACTCTAGCGGAAGGTTAAATTGATGTAAAAATACCGTTTTGTCCATAGTTTTCCATTTGCATTTAGACAATACTATAAAAGGAGTATGCTAGGTGTATTCCAAAATTTGTAACTCATTTAAACAACAAAGATATATATCAACATTTTGATGATTTACTTTGACACAAAATGTTGGTGCGTTAATAAAAAAATACATTGACACAAAGTGTTAGTGCGTTAACAAAAATTAGTATTACACCAATACAAAATATTGATGCATCTCTGCGGTGTACAAAATGGGATTGAGAGCGGCGTGTCAAAGCCACAATCACGCCTGCCACCTCAACATCCACCCCCTTGGCGAGGCACCTTGTCTGCTGTGCCATGCGTGAGACAACATATAGGTTCTTCTTAACTTTTTTTGTATAAGAAATAAGTTTTTTTAAAAAGAGTACATTTTTTGAAAAAAAAAAGAGAAATAAAAAAAATTAAATAATTAAAATAAATCAAGAAAGTGTAAAAAGTGATAAAAACAATGATTTGCCACTAGACATGCACTCCACTTGTTTGCCACATTTGACTGGATTGTTTTTTGATTCGTTGAAAAGCGACACGTCAACGTCGTTGGCGTTTTTATAATTTATAGAAACTTAAAGTATGACCGATTATTTCATTGGTTGGTTGAAATGTGCGTGGTGATGCTCTAAATAAGAGTTCATACTTCAGCTGAAGCTTCGCCGCCGGTCATCGGAGCGCCTTCGCAGTCGTTGGCCAACGTTGACTAGTACGGTGGTCCACCAACAACATTCTCTAGCATAAATTACACTGTGAGCTTCTATTTACATTGCTATATTCTCATCACACGGTCATGATTCATACCCGTCAAACTATAATTTAGAAGATAAAAGTAATGACAATCATGTTTTAATATTTTAATGTCATTTTATTTCTATCTTGAAACATTTTTAGCACTATTCACTCCCTAATAAACTAATAATTGTTCCCCATGCCATTCATTTTAAAGTTACATAGTAGTGTCATTTCCCATCTAAAAAATGATGGAGCAGAGGCATGATCAATTAAATAATCGATCTTATTTTAATTAGGTTTCTATAATAAAAAAAGCCAACAATAAAATAACTGTAAATTTAACTATTTTGTCTAAAAATAGATTTGATTGCTTAGCCCTGAAGGAAAAAAAATGCAACAAGTAGTGATAAGTGATAAGTAATGACTAACGTCCATTTTCTACCCTCTTTAATTATTTTAATTCCTTTTTCTCTCCTCGATCTCTACTTTTTTCTTTTAGACTTTTTTGGCAACAAATCCAACAATAAATAAACATGATCATATAATAAAAAGTCAACCTTTTTCTACATTTGGTTGTAGGAAAGTTGTGGTACATGTCGACTCCCATTTTTTCCTGACATAAGAATTACGTAATTGGGAAAATAAAACCAAAAGCACAATCTTTTTGGATTTTGGAGTTGTGTTTTCAAAGATTAAGACCCACATGTAAAATGTAAGTTTTTTTATGAACTGAGGATAGATTTTTTTTACAAAAGACCTAAATTTTAATAGAGATTATATTTAAGGTCTATAAAAATGAATGTGGACCTAAAAATCACATGAAACTTTTTCACTGCATGTGTATAAATACTAGCATACAATCTGAAACATATTATCAATGCTCATATACAAATGATAAAAATATAAAAGATCTAGTTTTAGAATAAATTTAATATTTTAAACCTATTTAAAATACTCCTTTCGTCGGGAAAATTAGTTCCCATTGTGCTTTGTTTTAAATTTAATTTATCTCAAAACTGCTAAAGAAAAAAAAATTAAAAACTACATATTTAATATACATACACACACACATATCAAAACATCTAGAAACAAGAAATGATAAGATTACACAAACCCCTTGGTTTCCATGATACTGGAAACCAATGTAATGGGATGACCTGAGAGTGTTTCGGTGCCTCGTTTGGAATCAGTTCTTACCTCCTTCTAACCTCTTCAATTGCACCCCAAGTTAATTTTGACTTTGGAGTTAATTCTATGAATGGAGGGAGTACCGGAGCACCGTCGAGTCGTCCCATGTAATTAATTCTCAATGTCCTAGGAACCCGCCTCTTATACAAAATATAAAGTATTTTTTTATTAATGGAGTAACAGAAATAAATAAAGAATGTGATTAAATTTTAATCTTGTAAATATCTATGAGAGCTTATTTTTGAATTTTTATACTCGGTAAAAAAAGAGCATCTTAAAATAGCAATTACTAGGGTACTATAAATACTAGGGAGTATTGCGTTGAACACCCAAAATACTCCGTACAAAATATTCGTGCCTACCCAGCCAGTCCGACCATACGTGGGAAACTACGAACGTAACGTTCGGCGGCACCGCCGCATAAACATAACGGACCGTGAGAAACGCCATCGGCAAGTGCAATGGCGGCGGAGACCGGCGGCGGAGATATCAACTTGGACGGCCTGCCGGAAGGTTGCGTAGCCAATGCTCTGTCCCTGACGAGCCCGGAAGACGCTTGCCGCCTCTCGCTGACCGGATCAACCTTCCGCTCCGCCGCCATGTCAGACGCCGTCTGGGAGCGGTTCCTGCCTCCCGATTACCGTGACATCATTTCCCGGTCCGCTGAAGCCGCCGATTTGCTGGCCTCCGCCGCCTCCAAGAAGGATCTGTATTTCCGGCTCTGTGATTTTCCCGTCCTTATCGACGGCGATACCAAGGTAACTGTTACTTTTAAATTCTACTCTATTTTGAAATGAAGGTCATTATCCAATCACTCCAATTTTACTTGTTCCGTCCCACAAAAAAATTCTCTATGTATTTTTGGTCAAATAGTTACACGTTTTGACCATAAATTTAATATTCCCTCCGTCTCATGACTTTTGCTTTTCAGGAGGATTTAAAGGGGGTATTTTGGTATTGAATTTCCAAAAATGTGATGGGTAAAAGTATGATTTGATGGATAGATTATTAGTAAAAAAAGTATGCTCCATTCCTTCCAAAAGCCTTTCAAAATAATTTTATCTCTTTATTATTATTATGAGATTTTGTACCTTGATTGAAAGGGTATTTTATTTTGGAGTAGAAAGAGTATTTTAATTTGTACTTGGTAGTATGATGTATCTCTAATTTTAGGGGCTTGAGCAACAAAAAAAGTGCATACCCTGATAATTAAAAAAAGGGGAAGAGCAAATGAGTGTAAGCATTAAGACTCCAAGCCTAGAAAACACACAACGGCAAGAACAAAAACTACCACCCCAAGTCGAAACGACTATCCAACTATTCTAGTTTTATATCTCTAGTCGTTCGGTCATATTCTCGAAATCGTAGATCATGTCTTATCACCCTCTTCCAGTTTTTTCTTAATTAAGGTTCGGTCACCCTTTCTCTCGCCTTCAAGAAGATCCCCAACCCACACCCCAATCCTTCGTCTTCCTTTCTTCCCCTATGTGGCGGTGAATTGGCTGTCGGGAAGTCGACTTCTGCACCAATTTATTTTTGCACCACTCTTTGAACTTTCTGGCTCTGCCACGGTGTCTAATCACCCTCTTCCCATTCTTCTTAATTAAGGTCTACTTTTTCTCTCATCCATGCCCGCCCATCACTGTAAGCCTGTCGCATCTCTGCACCAAGACCTCATCAAAATAAAACATTAAAACACATTGGCATATCCGCATGGTTGCATGCATGTATAGAAAAAATGGGTGTGTATGTGTAAAGTCAGTGTGAAGTAAAGTTAGTGCTTTTTGATGTTTTGTAAACTTTTTGGGTTTTATAACTTTTGATGAGTGGATTCCAAAACTGTTTATTTGTTTCTGCAAGCAGAGTTTTTCATTGGAGAAGAAGAGTGGGAAGAAATGTTACATGATAGGCTCAAGATCCCTTAAGATTGTTTGGAGTGACACACCCAACTACTGGCGATGGATCTCTCTCCCTCACTCCAGGTAGTTAGTTCTACTGATTTGACCATCCTGAGCAAGCTACCTTTAGAATTATTACAAAAAAAGGATGAGCCACATCCCCGAGTGTCACGTCAGACTCGGCCAGACGGTCACTGAGAGGAGGTAAATTAGACTTTAATCGCAGATTGGTGGCAAAGATTGGAGCTTGCACCTGGTACTTGCAGAGACCTTATGCTTAGCATAGTTGCCTCCCAACGCAGTTGTCAGGAATCGAACTCGGGTCTTGCCCCCTTGGCACTCCTTGCCTTGTCAACTGCCTAATACCCACCGGCACCTTTAGAATTATTACAAATTTGATAAATGACACTCTTCCTCCCAAAAGTATAGATGATTTTCTCTTATAATCTATTCATCACATTTTTACTTTAACTCATCACCTCAAGGGAAAAATTGGAAATCAACTGTAATTTAACACTTCATTATTTTTACACTTGGCCAAACTATGAATCTTTTTTTTAGAGTAATTCCCTACACCGATTTATAATTTTTTTTGCCTTTAATTTTTACCTTTGTTTCAATGATGAGCTGGTAAATAGGTTCTTTGAAGCAGCTGAGCTTATAAGTGTGTGCTGGCTTGAAATATGTGGCAGCATAAACACTACCACTCTCTCCCCCAACACAAACTATGCAGCTTACCTTGTCTTCACACTCCAACCCAAATCCTACGGCTTCGAATACCAGCCGCTCAACGCCGAGATCACGACCGACGACGACAGAGGCGGGGCGAAGAAACAGACCGTTTACTTGGACACACGCGGAGCGGAGTGGGATGGGGACAACATTAGCACTCACGCAGCTCCGAGGGCGTTCAGGCCTCGGAGTGGAACGCGCGTCACTTACAGAGCGAGGCGACAGGCGATGAACGCGGACTTGGAACGCGGGGCGGGGCGGTTCCCGAGGAAGAGATCATATGATGGGTGGATGGAGGTGGAGTTGGGGGAGTTTTTTGTGGAGGAGGGGGGAGGGGGTGAGGTGGTTGTGAGCTTGATGGAGATTAATAGTCAATGGAAGAGTGGTTTGGTTGTGGAAGGGATAGAGATTAGGCCCAAAGAGGAGGAGGAGGATAAACATATGTAATAGAGTGTAGTAATGTGGAATATGAATCCTTTCAATGCACAATCGAGAGGTGAAAACCCAATAATGTAGGGTCGTGGTTGCATAGTTCCAAGAAGTAGATTTGGCATTTTTATATTAAAATACCATAGTTCTTTCTATTGATAATATATGTTTAATTTATTTTTTATGTAAATTAATTATTCCATTGCATAATAATAATAATAATAATACTTTTAAGTTAGAACAAATTGAAAAGGTTAAAAAAGAGAAAGACAACTATAGAAGTAAAATATAAAAAAATTATCAAAATTACTTATTTTGATTTCTACCTCAATACTTCTCCCTCCTAACAATTACTCTCATTTGAGTTTACTTTCATCTTTTTTATTGTGTATTTGAATGCCTAACATTTGATCATTTTAAAAATAATTAAAAATTTGATTCTAGGCATTTTTTTAACTGAAAAAATTACAATATCCAAAGTGGACACTTAATTAATCATAATATTCAATAGAGAAAGAATCATGAGTGTTTCTTTGGTGCACCTTGAGTGCATATCATTTTTTTGGACCTTCTCACATAAAATATATATTTTTTTAATTTTTTTAGGTAATAAAGAAATACTTATTTTGCTCATATGTAGGTCCATGGTAGACATTAGCTCCACCATAAAATTTTTCGATAATTATTAATATGTTTAAAACAGAATTCATAGATTGAAATGAGACTTTCAATGTGTTAAACCAACGAAAATAATTGATATAATTGTATTGTCGAAAATGTAAAAGAGATTAATTTTAGAATTATTGAAGATATTTTTCAAAAAAATGCATACGCAATGTTGACTACATAAGTAAATTGATTTGTTGGAAAACTAATATAGATAAATAACCTTAAGTATTTGAAGAAAATTATACTACATCCGTCCTATAAAACTTTTCAAATACAAAGAAAGACGTCCCACAAAACATTTCAAATTAGATAAAAGGTGCACCCTAAAATCATTTATCCTACACATCATACCTTACCTTATTGTAAAGTAAAGGAAAAGTTAGAAAATAATAACAAAATTATACATTTTTAAAGGAGTTCAGTGGTATGTCATTTCCAGATGATAATCTACTTAATAGATTTCAAAATAATTTCTTGATTGAGAACTTGAACTATGATAAAGAAAAATTGTCTTCTGATTTTATAGAATACTTATCTACGATAAATGAAGATCAAAGAAAGATATCTGATGCGATAATGGAAGTCTGATATCAAAGAAAGTTCTTTTTTGTATATGGTTACGGGAGAAACATTTATATAGAAACCAATGTCTACTTCTCAAGATCCAATGGTATATATGTAGAATGTTTTGAATGCTGCATCCAGTGGCATTGCAGCATTGCTTTTTCCTGGTGGAAGGACAACACACTCGAGATTCTTAATCCTTATGGCTTTAACTGAGTGTTCAACGTGTGCTATCAAACAAGGGGGTCCGAAAGGAGAATTAATCTAACAAGCAAGTAGAATCGTATGAGATGGAGCATGTGCGATGAATAGATTTGTTTGTGAGGCATTGGATCACACAATGAGAGATGCAATGAGGTTCTACAATAATAACTCTAGAAATGAACTGTTCAGAGGGAAAATATTAGTACTCAGAAGTGATTTTCGCCAGATCCTTCCACTTTTACCAAAGCTTCGAGAGGAGAAATTGTAGATGCTACCTTAAATTCCTCAAAATTGTGGGTGTATTGTAAAGTTTTTACGTTGACCAAGAATATGATATTGCATTCTTTTATCTCCTCTTACGCAGATAGGGATACACAGGCTTTTTCTGATTGGATTATCAAAATTGGAGATGGAAAGCTTGGTCAGGTGATTGATGGAATCGCTGACGTTGAAATTCCGTCCGAATTCTTGATTCTTGACATAAGTTATCCTCTCAAAAGTATAGTACTGGAATTCACTTATCTGAACTTATTGGAGAATATGAAAAATATTATTTTTTAGGATAGGGCACCACTAGCACCCACTCTCGAAGTTGTTGAAATGGTTAATGAGTTTGTCCTATTACTCATTCTCGGTGATGAAAAAAGAGTACTTGAGTTATGATTCTTAATGGCAAGCAGATGCCAATGTCGTAGGTGTTGATACTTATTGGATAACATTTGAATTTTTGAATGAAATTAAATGTTTAGATGTTTGAGGATCCCAAACCAAAAAATAGTTTTGAAAAAAAGGACATTGATGATGTTATTTGGATTGTGTAATGGGACAAGATTAATTGTTTAAGAGCTGCGAAAAAACATTAACCGTGCAATCGTGGTTTTGAGAAATCGAGACGGGGAAAAGGTTTACATACCCGAATAAATTTGGTACCATATGATCCAAGGCTACCTCTAAAGTTTCAAAAAAGATAATTTCCAATAGTTTTATGTTTTGCTATGACTATTAACAAAAGTTAAGGTGAAACATTATCTTTTGTTAGATTATTTTAATTAAACCAGTATTCATTATGGTCAATTTTATGTTGCTGCTTCACGAGTGAAGACAAATACATGATTAAAAATGTTTATTTTAGATGACAATAGAAACCCTTGCAACCATACCAAAAATGTTGTATACTCTGAAATCTTTCAAAAAAATTAGATTTTAATAAGTCATTGTTTTCTATACTTTTAATTCTTCAAATATTATTTATTCTACTTTAACGTTGATGTATATAGTATTAAAAATGATGTAAGAAATTTATTTTCTTTAGTCCTCAAAAAATATTACATGGAAAAAATAAGAATCGACAAAAAATTTGTTCGACCTCGTGCATGTCATGAGTCAAAATGCTAGTATATAGATATTTCAAACTAAATCAAAGAATCTTTATTTGCTTCCATATTATGTTAAAAAATATTATTGCTTGAGAATAAAGAAGCATTATATATATATATATATATATATATATATATATATATATATATATATAGCTAGTCAAGTATATTAATTACATAATTGTTCAAAATCAAATGTTGATTATATATATACTCTTTCTTTGAACCACATACAAAAACTCGTGATTTTTATATGAAATTTATTTACAAATTGGTATAAAAATGAAAATTAAAACTTAGATATTTAAATATTACATTAAAAATTTTACAAAACAAGAGATAATATGAATATTTTATTTTAAGAAATTATCAATGAGAACATGTAAATAAACAAAAAAATATTGAAATATCGTAATAGTAAAAAAGTAAATTATTTTGGGACAAATAAATAAAGTATTTTGTATAACAATTTCTAAATGGGTAAAGTTTTAGGTAGCCTCAAGGTCTACAAACATTAGATGGACTTTAGTATATGAAAATTATAGAAGGTTCTTTTTTTTTGTAAAATAGAAAAGATGGTCTTGCAATTCTATAAAAAGTCTCAAAAGTATCATCACTCTTCCAAAGAGCAGTGCTATGTTCACAAACAAAATACTCACAAACTTCACAAACTTACTATTTATGATTTAAAATTTTATTTTAAAATCATTTCAGTTTGTGATCATTATGTTTGTGAACCAAGTATTTCCTTCTTCCAAATTATGATGACATTCTTTAATGGATTAGTCATCAAACATGAGTGATAAGAGTCAAATGGGTACTACGTACACCTTACCTCCCAAAAGTATATTCATCAAAAAGTTGTTTATTACTCCTTCCGTTTGGAAAAACTCTTCCCTTTTGATTTGGAGGCAAAAATAAGGAAGTATTAAATTATATTGATTTCTAATTTTGCCTCTGATGTGATGGGTAAAAATAAGATTTGATGGATAAATTATTAGAAAAAAGTATGATGTGATAGGTAGGGTATGAAAAAGTAAGGGTAAAAATGGTTTTTTAATAGAAATGAGAAGTGTTTTGTTGGAAGTGGAAAAAATGAAATAAGAAGTATTTTTGAGAACAGATGGAGTAGAATTTCATCACAAATTGTGAAAAAAATATTCAGCTATAAAGTAAATTTACTAAAATTAAATTCATTTTAAAATATAAGTTTGATATATCAAATTTTTAAAACATCTAACTTTTTAAAAGTATATACTTAATTTATGGTGAAATTGTTACACAATTTGACCAAAATAATCTATAGTAATATTTTTAGGCTTTTTAGTAAAAAAAAGTGAAACGTCCTCTCAAGGCGCTCCACACCGTGCTCCCACAGGGTAGTGAGGGGCAAATTATAGTGTTATCAAGGTCTGGTCTCTAGAGAGGCGCGATATCCGTGCCCAATGTGCACCACAAGCTATCACGTTGGGTATAGCTTTCATAGTGTTACTATAATTCGATAGTAACAAGATAAGTTTATTCCTAGAGTTCCTTAGAATCAACCTCACAATTATGCAGAAAAAGTAAATGAAACTAATTGTATAATCTTATAAAAAAGTTTTATAATACATATTTTTTGTTTATTCCAAAAAAGATCTCATCTTTTATTTATAGATTTTTTTGTCTTATTTTATTTCCCTCTTATATATCACTTTTTATAAAAAAAATTCAATTACTCTCATACCCAACATTGTAATCTTTACACCAAGGTTCACATAACAATGCCTGGCAATGTCATGGGATGACCCGTGGGCGCTACGGTACCTCGTTCGTAAAATTGACGGTTCCTACCCCCTAGTAAACCCCCCGACCCGAACACACCCCCCACTCCTTCAATTACACCCCACAAGTTGATTTTGACTTTGGAGTCAAAATTTGACTCCAAAGTCAAAATCAACTTGTGGGGTTGAATTGAAGGGGTGGTGGTTTACCGGGGAGGTTAAGGGGGATGAACCGTCAATTTTACTAACGGGGCACCGGAGCGCCCACGGGTCATCCCATGACATTGTCGAGCAATGTCATGGAAATTTTGCCCTTGTAATATATGTTCAATCTTTTAATGTCGATTTCTTAAAACGGAACGGTAGAGCAGGAGCACTAGATGTGGTAAAGCTTGGGGTAGCTTCTTTGCCAATAAGCTAAAAAGCTTCCATCATAATTTTCTCTTAATAATTATTCTTTTGTCCAACTATTTTTGTCTCATCAACTATTCACAATGTCAAATTAATCTGTCCAACTATTC